TACTATTACTGAATCAATAAAAGTACCAGAGACGATTCGAAGCCATTAAAGGAACAGCCTGTAGAAGACGTCAAGATCGGTGGACGCCGAGGAAATTTGGAAGTTTGCTTAACCCGAGTGAGAGGGACAGAGTTGCGTGGAAAAACTTTAAGGAAGTTTCGCGAGCAGAGGATTAAAAAACAGTGATGATTACGACAATGAGAATTGGTCTTCAGAATTGGAACTTACCTTTCCTCTACGTAGTAAGGTCGAGGGAGCAACTACAGAAAAATGGTACTTAGGGAGTAACTTCCTCAGCAACTTCCTAGCGTCAAAATATCATAAATGTTAAAAGTGCTTGCATAATTTCGTCATGGCACTGGCCAAGTCGTTCATATGCAATCACTTCCACGGCATACTGCACCAAAGCAGTGTGAGTGAATGTTGTCAAACTGCGACTCAGATCCGCACAAGGCGAGGAAACGTCCACACCATTGTTGTCTTAAACCTCTGCTTGCCGTATCGAAGGAAGAAGCCGTTAAGCGATGCCCAAGCCCTTCATTAAACGTTCTAATATATTGACGCTAATAGACCGGGTACACTAGCAAGAAAAAAGTCGTTCTAAATCTGGCATTTGTACTTAATCGACGTTATGCAACGCATTGAGTATTTTTGGTCGTCTTAGTAATAGTACCATTCCTCGAACGGCTGCCAACATATTTTAATATATTATAAATACGCAGTTGTACATGTACAACAGAACGACGGTGATCATTAATGGTGTAAAACAAAAGCACGTATATTCAGCGCATTTTCAAGCACACGGTTCCTCATTTTTCTTAGTCTTGAGCTGACGATTCTATGGTACTTGGCTTATGCTTGCAATTAGGCATGCATAACTTATACAATGTGACGAATTTAGTTTTCAGTTATTCTCGCAACAGGTTGTACAGTTATATACAAATGAAATCAGATGATCGGTTTGCGACATTATTGATGTTTTACTCCATTTTTTAAACATGAGCTAATAGTAATTTGCAAATTGTTCCTGTAACACTTGCCTTACTAACTTATTAGCTGCTTATTTTCTGATCAATCAATTCGCTACAGCGTTTCAATGCAGCTAGCTGACTGGAGGTAGGAAATTTACAGCAGCGAGCAACAAGAGTACCGTCACACCATGACCTAATCGCTCTCGGTAGCTAACTAAAGCAGCACAAAACGTTTTCCACAGGTAAAAATCAATATATCGAAAAACAATCATTAATCGACTGTCCTCAAGTAAATTAAAACGGTAACCAGAGTCAAGAAAAGATGACATAATGAATTAACATGCACATTTCCGAAAGATATGGCCCGTAGATAAAACTAGTCTCCAATATTCGCGGGGGACTACAAAATGATACAATATAATTAACAACAGCTAAGTTTCTGTTGGTAATCTCAAAAGCCCTTTAAGGCTTCCACTCTGAAGACGACTCACACGATGAGTGACAAATGCGTGACTCAGCGACCTGCTGAAATGAATGCACACAGAAGTGAAGATGTGCAAGTCTACGACTGTCTGTACAGTTCCTCTGGGTTCTCCTGGACGGAGAATCAACTGCGCGAAATCCACGGAAGAATAAAAATGCTGCGCAGCCTCTGGATGATTGAAAATATTCTTATGCGGAAAACTACCCATGTGCTTGAAAGGGACGGGGGTACCTTCGATCAGTACGTGCTCCTAGAGCTGACCTACTGAAGCGAAACACGACTCGAAACGAACAGTGAGAGTTATTCACAAACGGCAACTACGGTACCTGGTAAACTACGCAACTCGACATTAAAAGGTATTTGGAATGAGAGGAAAAGACTGGTACAGAAGAAGCCGTGAGGCTGATTAAGGGCACAGCAACAGTATGCGATGCCATTTCACGAATTAATAATTTTAATCGACAATGGACAAGACAAGTTATAAGAAGAATCGTTCATCCTAACAGCAAAGAATGGGTTCCAAACGATAGGCTTCCGAATCGTTGGCAGGGTTTGCTGAAGGAGAACATTGCATAGGAATCAATCATACAAAACCGAAGTTTAAGTCCAAAAATTTCATTCGGCGGTGCAACGAAAAAGGCTTATGCTACTGGTGGCAGTTTAGACTGTTGTACTTGCCATCGATTGTCATGGTACGGGATTTTCAACTTCAAATGGCGATATTCTAGTTCTGATGCCTGATTTTCCTAACTGTTCGCTAGGCTCGGCCTTTCGTAGTTAATTCATTTTGTCACAGAAATGAATAAATTGGTTACGTGAATAAAAAACTAGTGCAACTGGACAAATGCAGTATGATTTTCGAATTTCGGTATGCTTCGCCACGGAACATCTGAATATGCTGGATGCTGTTGAGTATGCTGGATGAGTCACCAGTGACTTTTCTCGTATTATGCTAACCTACTTGCTAACTTTTTCTAGTCAATCAGCTAATTGGTTTCAGATGGTTGTGAAGGTTTCCTCATTTAACGTATATCCACAGTTGCCCATGTAAAATATTTGATCACTCAATGCTAAATGGTTTGGGGAAACAACATGGTTCAGTTGGTAAAAGGAGCCGCAGAATAATGTACAGACCACCCATGATGGTGTTACAACAGAATCTGATTAAGTCATAAATGCTCAGAGTCCAGCGTGTCGACTACGCCCTGTTGTTGTTGATAGTGATAATCATTTTGAATCTTTGTATTAGGAAAGCATCCTCAGTTTGCCACTGCGTTTTCATGTTATCAGCTCTTTTGCCTCAGGCACTGATTACATCGTAGAGGAACCGATTCTTTTACAAAAGCAGTTCTGTTTCTATCTATCTAGTTCATTCATGCTGAACGCTAGTCTCTTTTTCGACATTTGCCAGACGAAGGTCTCATGTCCTTCGCAAAACACAATTCTTCAGTGGCGAGCAAATTTGGTGCTCATTACTGAAACAACCAAACGGATATTCTGACACTAGCGCAATGCAGAGTGCTTTCGCGGATTTACTAATAATTCCTGCAAGAAAACGACCGAGATTATATGCAAGTCGAATATATGACCATAAATACGTGATTGTACATTGGTCCTGTGGAAAGAAGAAAATCCAAAGGATGTTATTAATTCCTGTGTTGTTGCAGGATTAGGTTCATTGTTGGCCTATGTCAACGCAATTCCGTTGATCATGCTTCTATGAGGACAGTTGTTTCCGGTGAGTGAAGTCCAGTCCTGACGGACTGAATCCGCTTCTAGGTCTTACACAATTTAACCTGGTTGTAGCATGTTATAGTTTAACTCAACCTACAACAAGGTTACGTATGTAAACGTGAGCAAACTATAATTCACATTTTTACACAGGAGTATATACAGATAATTACATGGTAAACATCAACAGAGAATCGGTGGTAGAAATTATCACAAGATCACACAAACACCGCACTTCGCGAGTCGCACACCAACGTCAACTGATGATGCTGAAACTGATAGCCAAGCAGGCCAGCTGTTCATGAGTGATTTCGTGGCGAGCGATTACTACAGCTTTGTAGTCACCCTTGAAAACATCTAACGGTTTTAAGCTCATCACCAATCGGGACAAATACACTACTTGAAGTACAGCAGCCACGTCTCTGTCCAGACTGTTAATGATGAACGATTGATCGATGTCGTAATACTGTGGGACGATCGGACAGCCGAAAACGTCTTGAGTCAACAAGCACACGGGCAACTGGTGATACTCGCTAATAAAAAAAAATAATAAATAAATAATTACGGTTTCTGAAACAGCATACCACGAGCCGTAGCTACCCAAACAAGGCACTCGCATCCATAAGGCGTTTATGATTCTCTTCTGCCACACCATTTGGACGTGCACGGCTTTTGGTAGCCATTGAGTGACGTTCACCTTCAATCGAAGACGGAACACGCCAGGAAGTGACAAAGGCATCGGCGAAAGACGGAACGCATCGAAGCTCATCAACCGGTGCTCGTTGCCTAAATATAAAGCGAAATTATCAATCGAAAAAAAGCTATCAAAATTTCATAAATTTTTTATTTAGAATATTCCATTCCCTGTTTCAGGGAATTGGTTTCAGCATTATGTATCAGTATGCGGTTGAGAATCCGTCCTTCAAATTAGAAAATTGTCTCGAAGACCGACAGATTCATCATTCCCGGCTATAAGTGACTGATTAGGCTCTGCAACTGTCACCCGCAAGAATTTTCATTGTTTGCTTAAAAAATAATTCTAAATTAAATATATAGTACCTTCGAAACTAAACAAGAAGAATCTTCCTATTTCAGAGATGGAAACACTAAGGTTAAAGTGAAACACGGAGATGCTTTGTTAAGATACTACACATTGGATAGCATCGATAGTGTACATCACTAGAGTTCCAACGAAGAGATTCAACATTAATTACCAGTATCTTTATTACCATTAAAACGAACCATACCTAATGGGTATCATCCACTCTACCTCAGTACAGTGTAATTGCATTATACTAAATTTCAAGCACGACTGATCTGTGCTTCAGCTGTTTCGAAATCAGTCAGACGTACGCCCTAAGAAGACTGCTACAGACACCAGTTTGGAACCTGAATAAAACATCGAATCCTGAACCGAAAGAACATTCTTCTTCTCAAAAAAAAATTCTCAAAATTGAGCAGATCCACCAAAAATGCTAAGTAACGAATTCCTGAGAATCTCACTCACTACAATTTTTAAATAATGCATAAAATAATTCTTTCATATGTGATCACTTGAATTGCTTGGACCGGTCAGTAATTCGTGCTGGCCGTGATTCCTCGCCGTTTCTAGTCTTCTCTCTACAAACGCTCCTCATATAACCTTCCCACAGTGTGGTGAGCAACCAAAAGGCCTCGTCTCCCTCACCTGATAATCGCCGATCATATTACGTCGGTGAGCCAAGCTACGTGTCCGGTCGATCGTAATTTCTACTCTCTGCTGCGGACGACGTCCTTCCCTCCCGTCCGCTGTCTGATCAGTAGGTTCGGGATATGGTCGTGACACGACAGTGTGAACATGTTGCCTCCCATAGCTCTCTCGGTGACAGATAGCGGTGCTCTTTGACTTCAGTGACTGACCACGTCTCACAGTCATGAAATCGCCTGCAGTACGATAGAATTGAACGGATGAGCAGTGGCTTCTTTTTTGACGCTGCAGACGAGAATGTTCTTGATGGAACAGGATGCGGGCTGTTGAATCTCTCCTGCCTGATCATGTCGTACGTTAATTTCTTGACCCACAAGAATCATCTCGAATTCTTTGATCTTTTCACCGTTTAATGTTTCCTGGGCATTTGGCAGAGCATCCGATCACAATACCTTCGTCCTTAACCGATTCATTCCACAGTCCTACTTCCGTACTCTTTTTTTGTCGAGCTCTAGCAGCATGTCTTGCAACTGACTACCTTTTCCCGCTAACGTCGGACCTCAGGCGGTTCAGATGTTCATCGTTCACGTTGATCCTACCCTTCCAGTTCATCCACAGAAATACCGTCTCCGAACAGGCAGTGAAGAGTTTGCGGGAGATGGTGTTCCCCTGTTTCACGCACTTCCCCTTCTCTACCGTAATCCGGAGGGTGTTTATGAAGCAATAAAGGTTCGTTTCCTTTAACAAGTTGTCGTAACGAGTATCAGTGCCATCACGGCCAGTGATTCTACACTGCGTTGTACTAGAGATTGTCGAACGCTTTCTCGTAGAGGCACAGATTGACCTGAGATTCCCTCGTGCGTTCAAGGAGTTGATTTAAGGTAAACATGTTATTCGTTTTGATATAGCATTTTTGGAATCTTACCTGTTCTCCTCGCTGTTGTTCGTCTCCAGACTTGTTTGCACTTTTTTGGTTGGTGATGATGTTAATGAGGCCCTGTAGATGTTTGATGGCAGGCAGATGGGGGGGGGCTGTCCTTCAGATCTTTCTTCTGGCCTTTGTTGAACAGTACGATTGTTTCTGACTCCTTTCAGCTTGGTGGTATTGATCGATTCTTTTTCCAGTTAGCAACTGACTATTTGTCAGACTGTCTTTCCGTGGGGCTTTGTTTTCCTGATTTGTCGTGGCATGCCGAACTTCGTTTGTGAGGACCGGAAACGCACTTCCTTCTTTCTGTTGGAGTGATAGTGTGGGGACGCGTGTCTTTCAGCTGGGTGTAAACGTTCATGCAGGTAAACTGCACCTCGGCCTTCTCTGACCTCAATGCGTCCTCATCGTTCTTCAATGCCATTATAGTCAGCTGATGAAGCACTAACTCTCTCCTGCACTCTCTGACGTTTCTACGGTCTTCCGCCGTATTTTATCATTTTTGCAAACAGAAGGTCTCGAAGTTGTCCATCAGCTTCCTTATAATGATCCTTCAAAAAAGAGAGAAGGGAGTACTCCACCATGTCGGTCCCATCTCTCTTCGTACTCCTCCGCTTCTGTAGCATATCCTTTTTCTCCTCAAGAATTTTTCTTTCGCTATCTTCGATATTACCGTATGGGCTGACAGTTTGTAGTGGTTCAGTTTTTCGACGAAGATTCCTTTCCGGCATCATTCGTCGCTGGAAGCTCCGCATCTTCGAACAGTTTTGATTTTTTGCGATTTATCATCTACAGTACCTTCCTCTCGATCTTCTTCTCGAAAGTTAGCCTGGTCCAAATCAGTCTGTGGCCACTGCAGGTGTTAAATGATGGCACTACCGCTATGATTCGAAATATGTGTCGTTTATCGATTTAGAATATCTGACGTTAAAAAAGCGTTGCAGAATCCCAAAGCATTCCAAGTCAAGAAGTTAACTTAAGATTTCAAAAGTACTGCTGATTTGTCTGCTTCCTTGACCGGTTGCTTGCGCAACACTCGTGACAATCTTAAAGTCCGCAAAGAATGTACTCTACTCTAATTCGAATTGATATACAGTTTCGCAGAACTTGAGTTGGTGTCTGGCATCTTATGATTGTGAGTTTGAATCTTTGAATTCCGTGCGCAAATTCTAATTTTAAATCCAGAGGGGCAGCTAAGTCTGTGCATGAAGAATAAGCATGGGAAATTTAACTTATGGTTCGTTTCTGATAGCAGACACGATGCTATATCGACGGGTAAATTATATATTAACACTACAGTAGCTGAAAACTCGCTTCATGAGCCCAGAAAGTCAGACCTTTAAACAAAAGAAACGAAAGAACAAAGCCATCATGCACATTGAAACGAGTCGAAAGATTTTAATGGCAGACCGATATTTTGACTCTGCCGATGGACAGGAATTCGAGCCATTCTGTATTTTGAAACGAGAGTCATTCAGGAGAAGGCACAATTCATGAAAAATGTGCAAAGGACCTCAGATAGGTTCTGATCCTTTAACACAACAAGCTGCCGAGAAAACTGAAAAGCAACCAGATCATCCAAATGGGTTGAAGGCTGGCACAGCACTGGAAAATATGTTGTTTTCTTCGAATCTGCCACTGCTGTCACTCAGTTCTTGGAGCATTGATTATAATGATGGAAATTATGAACGTCTTGATATGAATCGGCAAGCACTTGAAAAGATCTAGTCCATCTTTAGCCTTACAACTCTATACAACATCTGTATTGATTTTCTCGCTCCTCTTTAATTATTTTCTTCGCCCATTTTATGCGTGGTTCAGAACATATGTACCCTTGCGGAACAGGGAACGGACCAACCAACAGAAAACCAGCTCCTTAGGTTTAAGAAAGCCTGAGATACGCGCCGAAACGTCGGTCCAGCCAATCATTCGAGTGACCATGTCGTCTGCTACGTTTTATGCTGATGTCGATAAGAACAACACCATGCCAATGAAATGCTCAATCTTCTAATGACCTAAACACATGGTATTTACATAGTCTTAGAAAAGCCGTCGCCAACATGAAAAAAATATGAATACGTAGGAAAACCTTTGAGACACGAGGCGTCAGCAGGCGCTGTAATTTTACTATACATAAGGAAATGTTCATAACAGAAACTCTTCTAATATAATA